GATCACGTGGTCAGACCATGCACCTGTAGTAGTGACTTTAACCGACCTATACGACTCCACACATAGAAGCCCCGGGAGACTTAGTGCCTCTCTCCTTATAGACCCCGAATTCTGTAAAACATTAGAACAAGCACTTCGGCACTATTTTGCGGAAAATACGACAGCTCACACATCCCACAATTTGGCAAGCACACAAATCAGTAGCACGAGGACTCCTGATCCAAAGAGCAGCAACCCTCAAAAGACAGGCAGACACAAAACAGCGGGAAAGGCAGAAGGCACTGTTAGATATTACGATCCTAAACCAAAGGAACCCCTCACAAGACCTAAAGAAATGTATTATGCAGCTTACGCAAGACATGCACAAACAGGCACTAGATAGAACAGGGCAGCACCTTCAGAGGCTTAAAGCAACACAATACACTCAAGGAAAAAAGGCAGGCAAACTAGTGGCACAGCGCCTCAAAACACTCCAAATTAAACAAAAGATAGCACACATCCAAACGGAGGAGGGACACAAGATCACAGCCCCCAAGGACATTAGCAATGCGTTTGCCAAATACTATGCATCCCTCTATAACCTGGCGAATGACGCAAAAACACACCAACCAAGACCACAGGATATAAAACAATACTTGAACAAGATATCAATGCCCTCACTCACACCACAACAACAACACAAACTCTCCTCCGGTATCACCGAAGAGGAGGTGGACGCAGCAATCCAACAACTCCCAACGGGCAAAGCCCCAGGCCCAGATGGCGTTGCTAACTGCTACTACAAAGCATTCAAACCCATCCTGGTGCCATACTTAACGAAAGCCAATAACGAAGCCACTCAACAACAATGCCTACCCCGTGAAACACTACTAGCCCACTTCATAACGCTACCCAAGTCTGGAAAGCCGCCCACCTGCCCCCCAAACTTCCGCCCTATCTCCCTCCTAAACACCGATGCCAAACTATACGCTAAAATATATGCCCAAAGGTTGGGAAGCCTGCTCCCACATATCATCCACTCGGACCAAGTGGGGTTCATAAAAGGCAGACAGAGGGGAGACAATACCAGGAAAGTGCTTGACATAATATACAGTGCCCAGCGCATGAGAGTGGGAGGCGTGGTGGTGGCACTGGATGCGGAAAAGGCCTTCGATCGACTGAGCTGGGAGTTCCTCTAGGCAGTCCTTACTAAGGTCGGGGTGCCAGAGGGGTTCCTCTCGGCGGTCAGGGCTCTATATAACAGGCCAACAGCCCAAGTTTTAAACGCGGGGTTCGTGTCAGATCCCTTCCAAATAACTAATGGATCTCGCCAGGGGTGCCCGCTTTCCCCACTGTTATATGTTTTAGCGCTGGAACCGCTAGCAATAGCCATAAGGCAACATGCCTCAATACATGGGGAGACCATAGGAGATAAGGAATATAAAACGAACTTATTTGCTGAAGACGTGCTGCTCACCCTGACACAACCCCAGATATCCCTCCCCAACTTGGTGGACACTATTCTAGAATATGGACGGCATTCGTACTATAAATTAAACATTAGCAAGACCCAAGCCATGGGATTGGGACGGAAGCCCTAGACAGACTTAAATCTGCCTTTCCATTTGATTGGAGAACGGACCACATCACGTTCCTAGGCATTAACATTCCGACCCAATTAAATAGGCTACTGGAAAAAAACTACACCAAACTCTACAAAGAACTAGCGGTGACTCTGGAAGGTTGGGAGGGCAAATACTTATCATGGGTAGGGAGGCTGGCAGCAATAAAGATGATGCTGCTCCAGAAATTCCAGTACCTCCTATGCACACTACCCATAAAACTACCCAAAACCTACCTTAAAACACTACAGAGTCTCCTGGTACGATTCATATGGGCAAAGAAGAAACCAAGGGTGGCAGCCTTGGTTCTACAAAGATCAGTCGAAAGGGGAGGTTTTTTCAGATGTTGGAATGCCTGCTCACACTCCGTGGTCCAGGTCACCTGGCGGGGCAAATTCTTCCTGGTAAGGTCAGTGAGGGGCTTGGCGAGGGCGCTATAGTTAGGGACACATTTTCTGTAATACCCAGCGGTCCCTAGAAATGCTAACACCTGGGTTTTAGTCCTAGGGGTGGGCCACTTGGCCACAGCCTCTACTTTGGCTGGTTCGGGCTTCTGTTTGCCGCACCCCACTCTATGTCCGAGGTACTGCACCTCGGCCATCCCTATGCTGCACTTGGCTGGTTTCAATGTCAAACCAGCTTCCTTAATCCTGTCTAGAACCGCTCCTATATGGGCCAAGTGCTCCTGCCACGTATTGCTAAAAATGGCAATATCGTCCAGGTAGGCACAGGTGTAGTCTTGGAACCCATCCAGGAGTCGGTCTACCATCCTCTGGAAAGTAGCTGGGGCGTTTTTCATCCCAAATGGCATGACCTTAAACTGGTACAAGCCAAATGGGGTGACAAAGGCCGACTTCGGGATGGCCTCTGGGGACAGGGGGATTTGCCAATACCCGTTACATAAGTCAATGGTAGTGAGATATTGACCCCTGGCCATTCTGTCTAGTTTTCTCGTTTAATCTCCGGTAGTCTACGCAGAAGTGGGTCGTACCGTCCCGCTTTGGTACGAGCACTACAGGAGAAGCCCAGGGACTATCTGAGGGCTCAATCACCCCCAGTTGGAGCATCTCATCGATCTCCTTGCGCATGTTTTCCCTTACCGCTTCTGGGATGCGATAGGGGGTCTGGCGCATGGGTAGTTGCCCTGGGGTCTCTACCCGGTGAGTGGCCAGAGGGGTGTACCCAGGTACATTAGAGAACGTGTCTCGTTTCGCCTCCAACAGCCGCTGTACCTCGATACGCTCCTGTGGGCTCAGCCGGTCTCCCAGTGCAACTTCCCCTAAATCCCCAGACAGCTGCCCATCTCCCAGCAGATCTGGGAGTGGTAAGCTGTCAAACTCGTCAGAATTAGACGCACATATGGCAGTTACCTCCTCGGGGCGCTCTTGGTAGGGCTTCATCATGTTCACATGGAGCATGCGTCGCCCTCCCGTCCCTGTGCAGGGGCCAATTATATAGGTGGTGTCACATCTCTGTTCCACCACCCTATAAGGTCCCTGCCAGGCGGCCTGTAGCTTGTCATGTCGGACAGGCTTTAAAATTAGCACTTTCTGCCCGACCTGAAAGCTACGGTCCCTGGCTCCCCGATCATACCATGTGCGCTGGCGGGTCTGTGCCGCCTGAAGGTTTTCCCTTACCGTCCTAGTTAATGCTTCCAGGTGGTCTCGGAGGGCCAACACATATGGTATGATGGGAGTGCCATCTGCGCTCCGATCTCCCTCCCAATGCTCTCTTATAAGATCTAATGGGCCTCTGACTCTCCTCCCAAATAGCAGTTCAAATGGGGAAAACCCCGTGGATTCCTGCAGCACCTCCCGGTAAGCGAATAGGCGATGCGGCAGGAACCGCTCCCAGTCCTTGTGGGTCTCTGCGAAGGTTCGGAGCATTTGTTTCAATGTACCATTGAACAGTTCGCAGAGCCCATTAGTCTGGGGGTGGTAAGGGGCACTGATAATAGGCTTAATGCCACAGATCCTCCAGAGGTGTTGGGTGAATTCTGCGGTAAATTGGGTACCCTGATCCAAGATAATCTCCCTGGGTAATCCCAACCGGGAGAATATCTGCATGAGGGCATCCGCTACCGTTTCAGCGTGAATGTTGGTCAGAGCCACTGCCTCTGGATATCT